AAAGATTTCCAGGGATGCTTTCAGGCTTGGCAGCGGCGCTGGGATCGTTGTGTTCACTCCCCGGGGAACTACTTCGAGGGTGATGGATGAATTTAATACCTGAGATAAGTGTACGGGTTTTTATAGGCGCAGTCTAGAAACTTTCCGATCGCACCTCGTACCCTGATGATGTAGGCAACAAATAATCTTTGGATGTGTTGGTTAATTTCTATCATACTACATGGTACTACAACCCAGAAGACAGCCACTCTGACCAAATGCTATTTGACACTTAGAAGCACAAATTCAGGGATAGTTCTTTTGCATGTGTTACTATTGCATCATCCCACGTTGGTCGTAATTTGTGGTCATCCAGGTAAACTATGCAGTTGAGAGATCAAGAAATGAATAATGTAGAAATACTCGTAAAATGTTATCGAGTATTATTATGACATGATTTCTTGTACACTGGTCTTTGTTTCAGATCACAGAACAGCAGCTGATGGAAGTGTTTGGTCGCTACGGACCCCTGGCCAGTATTAAGATAATGTGGCCCAGATCAGATGAAGAAAAGGCTCGTGGAAGGAATTGTGGTTTTGTAGCCTTCATGAATAGAAAAGATGGAGAGAGGGCCCTGAAATATCTTAATGGTATTTAAGTATTATTAATCTAAAGATGGCTGTCTTCTGGGTTGTAGCACCATGTAGTTAGCTCATCACCCTGATGGTGGGGTCAATAAGGGCCTCTGAAATGTTGGTAAATTTTTACCAAACTACATAATGCTTCAATCCAGAAGACAGCCATCTTCGGACATCCTGCCAAGGAAACTTCAAATCCCGCGTATTTAAACTGTTCAAATAATTTTATGTTTTTTGAGCGAAAGTAGTGTTGTCGCTCTATGTTTATGAATGAATAATATGTGTAAATGAAAGCTTTGTTGGTCTGTTTGAATATAGACATCCTTGTGCATGTAAGTATTATAACAGTTTGTTTTATGTCTGTTTTTTTCATGGAATTTCTAGAAATGAAAGTTTATATTAAGCCAATGCTTTCTTTGTGGTGGTTTGCACCAAAATGCAGTACTGGCACCTTTTCTTAAAAATGTAAGGATTATCAAAATGCAGTAAAGTTGTTAGACATAACCTTAAAGTATAGTCGCCGGTTTTTTTCACAAAAGAGCACTGTTTAGATTACTCTGTTTATTTGGCCATACAGTTCAATTTTCGATGCAGAGTGTGCTTTTTGAAGTGAAACTGTTGTCCATATCAATGAAAGGTTTAATGGTTGTACGTAAGAAAAGTAAAAGTGTCCCATTACACGCTTTATAGGCTCTCAGGGGGAAAGGAAGTACAGATCTTACTCACTCTTAACCTTAGCACTAGATGGGGTGAGTGGTCAGCATCATGCCACAGGTGCACTTTACCCCCGGGGAAAGGACCCTTGGTTTGCGCTGGACATGAGGCTAGAGGAAATATTCTCTGACTGATCTGCCCGGCTCATTAATAGTTGTGCGTAATAAAATTAAATAACAAATGGTAAAATAGTGCATTGTTTATGAGATAGTTGCCTTTTAAGACTTCTTTATTTACAGGGAAAGATGTGATGGCATATGAAATGAAGTTGGGTTGGGGTAAGGCAGTTCCAATACCCCCTCACCCAATCTATATTCCGCCTGCAATGCTTGAACTCACAATGCCACCACCTCCCTCAGGGCTCCCCTTCAATGCACAGCCAAACAAGAGGGACAAACATAAGGTATGGAAACCTAATTACCATAGTGGCAGCTTAGTGACATGCAAACATTCAAAACTATGTTCATTTTTCACAGAACACAGCAGTTTTGTACTTCATTTTTAAGTGCCATTATAACATTTCAGACCGGGACATAACATTGACTTATTTGTCAGAAATTAGTAATCTGTACACCTGGTGAAAGATTAACAGTTGCTTTTCCAGAGCAGAATTATCCATCCAAAATTATCAGCTTCCATTCCTGGCTTCAGCAGTTTCTTGTCGCTCAACAACGATTATATTTTAAGCATGTGTTATTTTGGTAAGACAACAGATAAAATCTAAGTGAGGTACACATTTTTTGCTATATGAGAAATGTGGAAACTAACAGTGGTGGACTTTTAGTGAGTAAATAAAAATTTGCTTTTTTTTTTGTGGGACATCCCTGAGTGTCATTTAATAGGACATTTGGAGGTTTGTTATACTTGGTTGCAAAGAGAAGAATTGTCAGGCCAATAGCCAATCATGTTACAGAATTGTGTTATTTCTACATTACTTCTGTGGCATTTAAGTGCAATTGAATGTCTGTGCGTAACAGGGTAGTGCTACGTTCAGCTTTAGTTCACATCAAAGAAGAATCTTCTCCATTTGCTGTGACATCTAATTTTACTCATTGAGCTGTAAAAACTAATGTATTCTCTGCTGTTGAAAGTTTCATGTTTAAGGATGATTTTGATATTTGTGGTGGCGTGTCTCAATTTTAAGCGTTTAATGAGATAGTAGAATGGAGTTTTGTAAATACTTATTAAAATGCATATGAACCTAAAAAATAATGCCCTTCCAAATGTAGATTAGTTTTGTAATACCAGTATGGGCCATCCATTTCTGATACTAGGTAAGCAAAAAATAATTATCTTTTTGACCATGGTCTGTTCTTCAGGTTCAGAACATGCGACCAAATGACCCATACCCAACTGAGAGTAAGGAAAAGGATGAGCTAGACAAGGTAACATTTGTTCTGTTAGTTTGCACCTTCCTACTGTAAATTTAAGTTTCAGTTCACAATGAGTATTAAATGAGATAAGAGTGGAAACCCTAGACACTTCTTCAAGGATAAAGGCATGTGAAAATTATGTTATAATCATGAATTTGAAATGGGAACACAAAACTTGAAGCTAGAACTACTACACCAGCAAATGTCCCATTTTAATTGTTAACAATCTCGATTTATATTTGAAAGCATTTTTGATTGAACCTTCTCTGGGAAGTTGACTATCCTGACAGGGATTTGATGATTGTTTCTTAGATTTCTAATGCTTTTAATTGGGACATAGCTATTTTCTTCCATGCTTACCATTATTCTTAACTATTTTGTCATTTGAAGCTATTTTCTGGTAGGGTTCCCTTTCAAAGATAATGAATTGAGTTTTTGTTAATCTGAAAAAGTGTCTGGGCCTTTCTTTATAGGTCATCATGTAAAGGTCAAAGAATATTTATAGATGGTTTTTAACTTTGGTCATTGTTAGCATACTGGTTATACATATTGTTCATAATTCATATTTGTTCAAAATTAAAAACTACAGATTTCAAAATTGTGTGATGTGTTTAAGCAGGACAGGCAAAGCTCATCATATCCGTCACTTCTTTTGCAGTGGGGCTGCCAGAGTACAAAATATTTGCATTATTATATTGCAGGTTTTGTTTATGTCATAATACAAATTTTTCTTTTTATTTCCATTGGTTGGAGATTGTAAGTGTGTTATGTATGGATCGTTATGGATCACTCTTACTGCCCCACACTCTGCTTAAAAGCCACAGCCTACTCACCAGTCAATTTACTGCTATGAGTGCAATATCACTGTTCTGTAATTTAAGAATTATTTCATATTTCTGATTATTTGTTTTCGTGAAATAGAAATCACAAACCCAGCTCATGCAAAGACACATGATGAAAGAAAATTTGGTCATCATTTAAGGTTTCTACTTGTTTAATGTTTTGTTTTTGTGATCCTTTTGACTTTATGAACATTTGAGTTCTCTTCATCTGTTCTGAAAATTCCTCCTGTACAACCTAGAGGTTTGTTACCATATTTACATAATCTCCCCACTTACCTGGTCCTGAGGTAATTCACATCACATTTCTTTAAAATTCATTTTCCTCTCATCTATGCATAGATATTGTGACGCATCTTCCCCGTGAGATTTTCCAACCAGAATTTTGTGTGCATTTCTTCGTTGTCATGTGGTACACATCAATGTTCTACTTCTGTTGGTGTGACACCAGTTCTTTCAGTATGAAATTTCCTCCATTTTAGATGTTTCTTGGCTTGGTGTTAGAATTTATGACTTCCTAAAGAAACCTTAAATGTGGATATCATAATTTCACATTTTTATTTGCGCTGTTAACTTGTTTAATTTTCTTTGTGTTTGTATTAAAATGTTAGGTATTTGTTTATTGGGTGGCATCCCAGTCGCTGGTGGGTTGGATAGCCAACAGTCTTCGGGACTGTGCTACTGGCCCGTGGGGTGACCCTGTTGTGAACGTTTTAAGATTACTGCGTGAAGTAGTGTCTAGGTTATACTCTGCCATGAAGTGTCTTTGTACATGCTGGTACTCTAATGGGTTTTTCTTATTCTTATCATTTCTTGGAGGTTGTGTGATAAAATATTTTATAATTAAGTTCAATGTGCAATGAATGGTCATTTTTTTTGTGTTGGAAGAATTCTTTTATCTTTATTAGAAGTTAATATATTCCTTTGTTGTGGGTTGAGAATTGAATGTTGTGGATACTATTTGAAGTGTGTTACTGTAGTGAGGCATTATTCATATTTGTCTGGTGATGATGTTCTTAAAGCACCTGTAAGTCTGTAAATTTATAGAAATCCTATAACATTGGCCACATAAAGATTTGAGCAGTAGTTGAAACTGCATCTTATTGGTTGATGATTGGAAATGGCAAATAAGATAATTATCTTACTAATACACTAGAAAAGATGTGGATTTACTAAACTTTATTTTGGATATATAAAAGGAAAACAATGAATTATGGTATGGCCACATTCAAAAAATAGTAGAAAGCAGATGACCCAAAGATGTGTCTGATTGCTTGCTGTCTGGATGGAGGATGGAAGAGTGACAGCCAGATGGATTTAAGGAATTCAGGATGCAGTGGCAGAGAGGATTGGAAGGACAGTGTGGATAGAGAAGAATGGTGAGAGGAATCACATGTTGGCTCTGATGTTAAGAAACCAATATGTAGACAATTGAATAAAAATTTTCTTGGATATTATCCATCGTCTAGGAAATATAAAACAGACTTTCACTTTTTTACTTTGTCCGGAGATAGGGATTAGCTCTATCTAGTGGGCCCAACTGTGTAGGAACCTGAAGACGGAGATAGAGTCCCATCTCCGAAACGTCGTTTTACGTTTTATATTTACTAGACGATGGATAATATCTAAGAAAACTTTTATTCAATTGACTCTTCACCATCGTCAAGAAGTTTTAGATTCAATATGTAGACAGCATAACAAATTCCTTTGAAAGTAAGAGAGAAGTAGTATTCAGATGTTTTTGTCATATGAGTACTTTTTTTTGGATATTTTTAAAGCTCTCTGGATGAAAAGCTACACATACAACATTTTGAAGATTAGCTTTATACTCATTTTTGGGTAGATTGATTGCATTAGATAAAGCTGTCATTATCACTGGGCATTGAACAAGAGCAGGAGGTTGTCTGTGTATACAATAAAGATGTACAAACTTCACTGGGTAGTAGCAGCAAAACATTAACCATCGATCATGGCATCCTAGGAGAAAGTATAATGAATGAAAGAACAGGCAGTTGGAAATGTTTGCTAGGAACCAAAATTAGGGAATGTGGGTCCAACAGATTGGGTACACGCTCTTTTTGTCTGAAGACAGACTGACACAGTGTTCAGAATGTCTTTCTTTTTATCCAGACAGTGACCAAAGGATGTACTTTCATGATTATGTACATGCCAACTTTCAGATAGTACCTACCATTTCTTCACTTGATTACATGAAGTCACATATGTAGTTTTGTTTACTCCACATCAGATATAATGGTTGTAACGGAATGAGTTAATTTCCAGAGCCTTGTTTATGAAAACAGTGAATTGTTTGACAAGAGAAGTAGGAAAATTATTGAATTTTTATTCCATTACTAATGAAGATACAGATGACACTTCACATGGTATCCATCATTTATGACATCTCAAAATCCAGTGACTTTGCCCATAATGTTTATGTACCAGCAGGTGGACTTTTTTGCGGAATGACATGTTAAATTTCCAGCCAGCTCAGAATATGTGCAGTATCTGTCTGTTGTTTTGTCACATGTGAAGGGTATATTTTGATGTTGCTGCTGCTCTCCTCACAGATTTTATCCCAGGCTGTTGTCAAAGTGGTAATCCCGACTGAAAGGTAATGTACACAGTCACAAATACCTCACTTTGTTCTCTTACCAACAGGTAAGTTGTTAGATCTTTGCTTGCCGTGGTAACAGAAGGCTCTGTAACATTGTTCCTTCCTAACAGATATTTTAGTGCCTGTATAATAGTTACTGATGTAGCAATGGCATTGGTGTCGTATGCATCAGAATAATTGTCATATTATAATAGTTACTGATGTAGCAATGGCACTGGTGTCATATGCATCGGAATAATTGTCATAGTTTACAAAGAACAGTTTCTTTATTTACAAAATATTAACAACTTGCATATGTGACTCTTATTTCAAACTATAGCCATAATTATTACAGTTGCCACAGCATGGTTTTTATGAGGATACGTGTAATAAAATTTGATTTCTGTTATTATTTATTATTATTTTATTAGATGATGGAAAACATCCAAAAAATTTTTTTATTGAAATTCCCTTTCAACAAGTGCTGTTATAGAAAATAGTGACACAAGATAGGGGCTTTGTGTACTGTAAGTGTGTCTGATAAAGTAATGCTATGGCAAACATACTGCCGATGATTTCAAGGATATCATTTTTTGACAATGGAATAGTCGGCAAGGGATAATGTAATTGTGTCGGTTACTTAGGTTCCAGCAATTTATATGATGTATGGTAAGTTCTGTTGCCTTTACAGTATGAAGTTCTATGCAGTAAGTTGAGACTGATACTTTAGTCACAAATGGTTTACAAGAAATATCTGTACATCGTTCCATGGGTTTGTGGGGAGTAGTTTGCCGTTGGCTTATCAGAAGTTTGCAGTTTCTTTCTTTATTGAACATATTGCAGTATAATTATATGTACAACTGCCAACAATCCACCCATTCTTTTTACCATCCAACCACCCAACCCTGTTTCTCCCAAATGACATATATAAAAATTGGTAAATACAAAATAAATCCTCTTGGAAAGACAAATCTCAGGAAATACTGATTTTTGAGTTTCAATAATGTGAATTTGCATGAAATTTTTGTACATGAACTGACAACATTTCTGTATTTAGAAGACATTGTTACTAAAAGCCAAAAATTTTCCGAACTTCCCTGTCGAAGGCACATTGTTAAGGATTTAAATTTAGTTATGCAAAGGAACATGTTACAAAGTCACATCTGTTACCTGTTGGAGAACCTAAGGTATTATATTTTCTTGTGTAATTAGCAAAAGACATGTCCAAGAAATTATTCTGGCATGCACAATCACAAAATTTAGAAATGCCTGAATGAGGTGAGCTATTACACGTTGATTTGAAACTAGTACTGCTAGGTATTTTTTTCCCCCATCTGTGCTTATCTCACTGTGGTACTTGACACAACTATTGAAAATGACTCAGCAAGACATTTGGTACTATTGGCAGTTAGTAAATAAATCATAAATAAATAAAGAAGCAAACATCGTTGTACTCTGTCCCTAATTTAAAAAAAGTTCTTTGTCTCTCAAGAGAAATGAATTGGAATATAAACCTGCAGATTCCCCTCTAAATATAGCCTTGTTTACTAGTAACCATATTAATATTATCCATTGTGATAAAGCAACTAACTTGTGTTCAGAAGCAATTCTGTCACACTTAGTGAATTTTTCTAGTCTGTGACTGTCTTTATAAAAATTATCTGTCCACTGTTCATAATTGTCCTAACAGCCCTCATTTAATTTATATAGTGCTGTTGAAATATCAAGTTTTTAATGAATAAGGCACATTATTTTTTCCAATCTGCATTGTCTAAATAATGTCAGTCATCATTTGGTGGGTTACACCTCAAGCTGTTTGACTTAAATGGTAATGTAACTGATGTATATTTGGAAGGTGCCTGACTCGGACATTGCTGCTTCAGTTTTTTAATGGCTTTCCCCGTCCTTAAAATTCAGCTAAAATATAAATGCTTTCTTTGGATTTGCTCAACCTCAGTAATGAAATTGGATGCTGTGGCATGTGTTCCTAAATATAAATTAGCCAGTGATTTAAGTTTTATATCTAAAAAAATCTGACAGCTTTTTCTGTGAAGATTTCTGTCTTCTGGGTTATTGCGCTGTGTAGTCTGGTCGATGTTAACCAACGTTTCAGAGGTCATACTGCC